TTTAAAAAAATAATTAATAATTAATAATATAATAGATAGTAAGTTATTTTTATTAATTATCAGTATTTAATTATACTATTTACTGTAATTTAAACTCAATTAAATATTTTATTTAAAAAAATAATTGATAATAAATAATATAATAGATAGTAAGTTATTTTATTGATTATAGTATTTAATTATACTTTTTACTTAATTCAAATCAACTAAATTTTTTATTTAAAAAAATATTAGCTTGTAAGTTATTTTTATTGATTATCAGTATTTAAATATACTTTTTACTTAATTTAAACTTAATTAATTTTTTAGCTGGTAAGTATTTTTATTAATTATTAACATTAATGTTACTTTTAATATAAAATATATTTTTTATTTTAAATTTGTAAAATTTATTATATATAATAATTTAGTAAGTTTTATTTTAAAGTTATAATAAAATTATAATAATAATACTAATAATATAAATTATTTATTTAGAAAAAAGAAATATGTTCAATTTGTAATACAAAATATACTGGATATCAATGGTGCAAAAAATGTAATTCTAAATTATTTCAAGAACATTTCTCTAATTGGACTAGCAAAAATAAATTTATTGATAAATTTATTCAAAATATTCAACTAAATACTAAAAATAAAAGACAAATATTAGAATGGATTCCTTATAATAAATTAGAAGATATTAAATATCTTGATAAAGGAGGATTTAGCATTATATATAAAGCTATTTGGTTAGATGGATTTATTAGATCTTATTCATATAATAATAAAAATTGGATTAGAAGTAAAGAAATATATGTATCTCTTAAATGTCTTAATAATTCATCTAATTTAAATGAAGAATTTTTAAATGAGGTATAAAATTAATAATTATTTTTAATTTTAAATAATAAATTTTAAACAAATTTTTATTATTTAGTGGAAACATCATTATGAATGTTTTAGTCAATTAAAAAAATATTCAGATGAAAACCTTATTCAATTATATGGATTTACTCAAAATCCAAATACATTAAATTATATGATAGTAATGAAATATGCAAAACATAATAGTTTAAAAAAAAATTTATTAAATATAGTTAAAGATAAATGGATTATTAAATTATTACAATTAAATAATATTATCAGTGGTCTTGATGTAATACATCAAAAAAATCTTATTCACTGTGATTTTCATCATGGTAATATTTTAAATGTTAAATATAATATATTATCTATTAGTGATTTAGGATTATGTAAACCAATAGAATATTTTCAATCATCTAAAAATAATGATATTTATGATGTTTTACCTTTTATAGCTCCTGAAGTTTTAAGAGGTCAATCTTATACTTTAGCAAGTGATATTTATAGCTTTTCTATGATTATGTGGGAATTTATATCTGGAATTTCTCCATTTGATAATGAAGCTCATGATTTTCAACTTAGTTTAGATATTTGTAAAGGCAAACGTCCTAAAATCATTAAAAATAATCCACAATGTTATATAGATTTAATGAAAAAATGCTGGAATATGGATCCATTAAAAAGGCCAACTGTAATAGAAATAAAAAAGATTATTGAAAATTAGAAAGAAAATATTATTATTAATAATTTTAATAAAGAATTAAAGAATGATATTATAGACTTTTATAAAGCAGATAAATTATTAAATCAAAACGATGATTCTAATAGTGATAAGATTATTACTAAATCTCATTTACAAGCATATCATACAAGTCGTTTATTAGATTTTACTGAGAAATTAAATAAGGTTTTAGACCTTGAAAATAAAAATTTTGAAATTATTGGTAAGTGTATTATTAATTAGTATTAAATTTATAAATTTATAAAACTAATAAAATTTATTTATTACTTTAATTCTAATATATATTTAATTTAATAGAAGATTTAAATGTTATAAGTGAAAAATAAGCAAATAGTTTAATTTAATATTAAATTATATAATATTAATTAATCATAACTTTAAAATTAAAAAAATAAATTATTTTATTTTTATTAATTTGTTTAATATTATTTAATGAACACTACTATATTTAGAATAATAATTAAATAGCAAATAGTAGTTTGTAATCATTAAACATACAAATTATTCTCTTTTTATTATTATATAAAATATCTTAAAACTTTATTTTGTATTAAAAATTATATTTTATTATTTTTTTAAAAAGTACTAACTCTTCTTATTTTACTATTATTACCAATAAAAATGCATATCATATTTATATATTTATTTAAAATTATAGTAAAATTGAACCATTTATCCATTCATTTTCAGTACGCATTTTCTGAAATTCATATTATCGTCTCGATCTTCATAATATTATTTCTCCTGAATGAATTTATACAAATGCGGTCAAGTATTATAATACATAGCTATATTCCTGAAAAATTGCACTGTAATATTTCCTCAAATTAGTTTATATTTACGATATTAAAGAGAACAGTCCAAAAATTATCAGTGTTTTGCTAAAGATAGATTGAGAATTAAGAATTGATCAAGAATTATTTTTGAGTATGCCCTATGAATTTTTGTATGAAAAATTGAAATAACTACACAAAAACTGTATGATTTCAGTATACACCTGTACGAAATCAGTACGAAACATGTACAACTTTTTTTCATAGGGCATTTGAAGCCCCACGAACTCTCTTCGCCTTATCTAGAATAAAAAAAGTTCTTAATAAGCAAATAATTATAAAAAATTCATTTCCCTTATTGTACCTATAGCATATTTTAATTCTACTCTTCCAATATAACCTAATAACGTCATACCAGTTTTATCTTGTACAACTGGAACTCTGATAATTTGTTTCCAACAGTATTTGATCTTTAAAATACAAATTTTATGCGTAAATATATCAAAAATGAATAATTGATTTTAAAAATAATTCTACTTACCAATCTGACTTAATTTTGTATCAGAAGCAGTCATTACTAAGTCATGCTTTCTCATAGCTAGCAACTAAATTAATATTTATTTTTATTCAATTCCGTTATATTTTATAATTATGATAACATTAATTATTTTGTACTGGAAACTCCAAAAGAATATTCTTCTTTATCCAAAAATGGAAATCCGTTCAGCAGTACGTCTTAGTAACGATCATATATGTATTAAGTATTAAAATCAACGATAACTAATGGTGTTAATAAAAGGATGTATTCCACCTTTAACAAACAAGCCACCAACAAGCATTGTAACCATAAAAGTAATCTAAAAAAATTACAACGTTCGTTAATATCAATTTTAATAAAATATAATTCACAAAATAAACTTACCATTGTTGGCAAAATATAAGTTAAAGCACCTGTTAATTCAAACATAATGACAACTACACAAACTATATAAATAAAGGAATAGTATTTAATATATACATTGAAAAAATTTATAATTATTAAATTTTTTTACCTGTTAAATGCATAAATAGACTATATATAAATTAAATTATTTTTTAATTAATTTAAATAAATGAATTATTATGATGATGATGATGATGATAAAATTACCCTGTGCAGCTGCAGCTCCCAAAAATGCATACATTCCTAGTGTAACACACTTCCATACAAAGAAAATTTAGTAATGACCATTAAAATTTTTATACAAAAAGAATTTTTACTTACTGTTGCATCGGATTTACATGTTGCGAATAATGGAAATTCTGGATATGAATTAGCAAAGCCTTACAAAGACCAAGAAATCTACCAAAAGTAGAACCTACTGCCATAGAAGGTATAAAAATTCCTGCTGGGACCTAAATTGAAGACAATAGACAAATGATTTTTTGAATTAAATGAAAAATGATAAGAAAATACCTTGGTTCCGTAAGAGATTATGACAAATCCAGTTCTGAGTATTGTTGCAATTATTAATAAACTCTCCATTCTAAACGATTGTGAATCACTAAATGATTTGGAAAATTATAAATAGACATTCTGTAATCATAAACCGCATTCATAACTTTCGCCATCAATCACATACATGCATAAATTTTCATAATCATGAGTCTTAGATTCGCACTCTTGAAAAAGAATACCCAAAGTTTCGGTCATATCAATTTCAATAATATATTAAAATATCCAATCAATGCAGTAATGAAAGCAAGAGCCGGTTACTTCCGCCTTTCAAATATTTCTTTCTAAAATGTTGCACTTTGATATTATATTTTGTTACCAGAGCACCATACAAAACCTAAATGTAAAAACAATATATATATATATGTATTAATAATAATATTAACTTTTCTTTGAAAAAAATGAAATTAATCTAAGATTACATACGCCAAAAATGCCCAATATGATGAAAAAAATAATTTCGAAAAAAATGCCATAGGTAACTTCAAGTTTTCCAGTCCTGAATGGATTCAACCCCTTAATAGAATATGGTAAACTTTATTAACGAAAAATAATAATACTTAAAAATTGTAAACATAAAACAAACCTAAAGCACAAAAGAAGCTTCGCCAAAAGTTTTCATAGGAAAATTTGAGCTCATTTCCTGCAAATAGGAATTAATTCAAATTAATATAAAAAAACATGCTCACAGTTAATCGTATGTCTCACCAAGAAGCAAGCATTCATGAAAAAGATATTAATAAAAACAATATATACAAGATTTATCTTAAAAAATTATATAATATATTTAATAAATTTTCCAACCTCGAAATAAAATAAAACACCTGCAATAGGAAAGCCAAATGCTACCGCGCAAGAAGAAAATAAAATCTCTCGAATTTTGGCTGTTAAACATCAGAATTCGATTTTAAAATCAAGTAACAAAAAAGATTAAAAACCTTTGGTTTCTTTTGAATAATCGTGAAACAATATTTCCAACACAAGCTGCGGTGTGAATTGAAGGTCCCTCTTTTCCAACACTTATTCCAGATGCAATTGCCAATGGCTATTAAAGTAATGTTCGATCTAATTGATATGAGTGCTACAATGTTAGAAAAAATATTGTAGGATACACTAGGGAGAGGTTATCACAATCAATAATAAATCAATAAATCATTAGTTGATTATTAGCCAAAACCAAAAAAAAATCGACAAATTTTCAATGAGTTATAATTGCGTAATCTGCACATAGGAATGCATATTTATAGCTTGATTACGTAACTATTGAGAATAAATAAATGTAAGTAGAAATGAAATAAAAATGTGTGTACTTCGTCAAACCTAAAGTTAGGAATTGCATATTGTTAATCATAAAAGAAATAGGTTCAAAACGCACTTCTTTTCACGGCTCCTAAATTGTTTCGTTTGTAGTATCATTTCAAAATACGTTACGTGTTTAATTTAAAGTGACGAAACGAAAATATTTAATAAAAAAATTACAGGAATTCAATATTGGTGAAATTTGCAGTTATATGAAGTAGAATTTCGTATTTTATTTTAATGTTTGTATAATTTGCAACAAGAGCACTTTAAATCATTTATGACGAGATATTTTTATAAATAATTTGACAATAGATTCTCATGGCATCTCGATTTCGTCATGTAAAGCATGATGTCGTTTGCTACTTCATGTCAAATTATGAAATTAAATTATTCTAAAATAAAAAGAATTAGATGATGTTTCTTTATCAGATTTGAATTTTCTAAAGTAACTTGCATCATGAAAATATTTTTAAATGAAAATTTTTTTCTGTCTGTCTGCTAAACTTATTTAAAAAAGAAATAGATTTATAGATTATCCATATACTCAACTCATGATAGTGTGGCGATTCAAAAAGGGTTCATATAAATCTTTATCGTTTATTAAACTAATCATTCTCATCGAATAAATATGTATGTATTTGAATTTAAAGTTGAAATTTGGAAGTTAAAGTTGGAAGATACTTAAAAAGTAAAATTGATAAAAAGAAATATAAACAAAACAATTTTTTGCGTTCATTCATTTTAACATCGGTGGAGCAGTCGAAAAATCTACAACGTGAAATTTTTCATTATTTTGTGACACGTTTAATTTAATATCGTATCGATAGTAATCGTTTGAAGTTGTCTTAATGCGATTATTAATCGAATTCTTAAGACTTAGTTGCCGCTATAAGTTAGAACAAGATATTTTTTTAGTAAAATAATAAATTTGAGCTGACGTGTCAAAATTGTGATTTATCCGTATGAAATCTTAGGAAGGATGTAGTGAAAAAATGTTCTAGCGAAATGTGCGAAGAAAAAATGATTTTAAAATGGTCGAATGAATTGAAACGAAATGTTTAATTCAAAATGACAGCGGAAATTAAGTTATTTCTGTGCAGTATCTATATTGTACGACGATATTCTTAAAAAAAGAATAAATGAAATGAGGTTTAATATTATTAAAAAAAGATTCATATACTCAGATTCTTAATTTTACAAGAGTATTTATTACAATAGAGACTATAATCTTTGAATTAACACGCTCTTATTTCATAACTTCGATTAAATACCAATAACATCATATACATGTTCTTTAATTGTCTTCCATAAGGAATCTTAAATAATGGACAAGATCAAGCGTTTATTGTATTACTACTCACTTTACAATTACTTTGTATAATAACATAGATGTGTTTTATAGTGATTCTGCCAATACCTTAGGTTGTTTTTCAATAGAAAGTTGTAATCTTTGACCAGATTTCTTCAACTTTTGTAGCTTTAATCTTTCAGCTTTCATAATTTTTTGAAGAAAAAATAAAAATTCATCGAATTGAAATTTTTGCAAGTTGACTGACTCAAAAAAGTGTTTCTAAATAAATTCTACGGTCTACTTACGGAGAGTAAATTGAAAAAATCGTCATAATCTGAAATTTTAAGATTAGATAATTTAACGATTATTCATTTTCAGAATCCACCCTTGAAAATTTAGCTTGATATCTATGAAAGAAGAAATTAAAGTTAAATTAAAAAACCTATTATACTTATTAATTACAATATTAATTTATTTATACTTACAAAGTTGAAGTGTAGGCATCAAAAGAGGTGGTGACATTGTGGCACGAATAATGATAATTCTCCGACACGATCCTGCCAAATTTCTTTGCTAATTTTATCAATCCATGAAATGTGTCAACATAATAAAATATTTATAAGGGATAAACCTCGGGTAATTGATTCTCTTCAAAAACAATCTCTTTTTATCGGTGGGCAAATAATCTACACCGCGCAATATTTTCTTCATACTACCTTCAAGAGAAACAATTCGCCGGTAACAATATTCAATTGATTATCATATTTTGTTAGGAATTTGTTTTGTACGTCCAAGATACATTTGATAACTATTCTTTCATATCTCCTAATATTTTTGATTGATCTGGACATGTTCTTACATTTGCTAATAATGTTGGAAGGATTTTAACTGAAGTCCATCCTCATTTGATTGAACCTTAATAATAACTTCCATTCCCATATGCATGTCCATAGTTTCTATGGTAAATATATGTCCATAAGAAAGAACGATCACCTTCTTCCCGTCTCAATCCACCTCATTAAATGAAGTTTTCGTAATTACATTTAAAAAATGAATTGATCATAAAAATGGTAATAAAAACAGCAATAATAAAAAAAGTAAACCTTAAAGTTTTTTATATACCTTGTCTTTTAACAGATTCAGGAGCAAGAGTATTGTAAAAACCTTTTGTAGGATAAATTTCTCCGCAAACTCCAGAACATCATTCCTATCTCTTGTTATATTTTTCATTACAAGATCTAAAACAAGGAACACCACAATTTAATCTGCATCTTCCTTGATGATCACATGTTTCTGCGCATGCGGAACAATCGCACGATGAAAGATCACATGCGCTCCATCTGGACAATTTTTTGAACACATTTGTCCACAAAATAATGATTTATTACATAAATGTTTTTTCCGCAATTCATATCGTCTTTGATTTTACATTCACCAGGTGTTTTCGAAAGGTTTTGACAGATCCAAACATTTCGTAATTACATTTTAACGTATGACTTAACGCTATCAACAGATTCATGACACTAAAAAAAAAAATAAATAATTTTATTAGAAATGACATAAAATATGAGTAAAAAATATTTACTAACGAAAATGGTTTTTGAGTGTTCGCAACTTGGTAATTGTTTTTCAACTCGAACCAAACATTAGACATTATCAACGGATTCATAAACCTAAGGATATAAGCTATTATTGTAAAAAGAAAAGTAATAAATAATTAAATAAACAAAAGATTTACATACGTAAATGGTAGTACTGTTGGGATTGAAGTAAAGCACTTGAGTTCTAACTTCTTTTGATTTTGCAATCTTCAAAACAAAGAAAGTTTTGACATATATGATTACATTCTGAATGTAATTAGTTTTAAGATGTTGAGATGACACAGAGAAATACACGTGCCTATAAAAATTTTTTGTCTAATATTTCCATTTTTTCTCCGTGGCATCTGTAAACATTGCGTGAAAAATGAGCTCTTCACGGACAAAACGTGGAAAACAAATCACGGATCAACTTTTTATAGGGGTATCCACAAGGAAGTTTTCATCACATGGTGAAATGAAATTTAGAATAAAAAAGTATATTATATAACAATGAAAAAACTGAAGAATAATATGACTTTACCAGAAAACATCCACCATCAATGCTAACTTGTTCAAATTGTTCAGGTTTGTCAATAATATGCTTGTATTTAGGATGATTATGACATTCAACTGGCATGTCAGAAACAACTTGTGGAGGATTTCGTGTTCGTAACATATTAATTACATTTTTTCAGATCTTGATTCCATCACCAATAAGATACATTCATTCTTTTGCACATGATAATAATACATTACTTCTTTAAGATTCCAGAATTGGATAAATAACGAACTAAAGAATCGATGACTATGGTTACTTCTTCACCCAGGAAATTATCTACAGTTCTTAAAGTAACTCGTCGATATAATAATTTTTCTGAAGTTGTAACACTTATAAGTTCATTAGCAATTTCTTGCTCTTCCTCCATTTCAGCAAGATCTTGTGAATCTCTTCTACAATTGTAAGGCTTCCTTGGTTCTCATAATTTGTCCCAAATAAGAAGTACATAGATTTAGTAAATGAAATAGTTTACCACCATTTTGACTTCAAAATTATTCACATGATATTGTATGGTCATGATCGATAAGAATATCATAGATAGTATTTGTTTCTGCTCTGCAAGTTTACTTTGAAAGTCAAGAAAGGTTTTAAATGTCAGTTATTAAATTAATTAAGTATAACGCTAGCAGCACTATGATACATCTTCATCTGAAACTACATCAGATAACTCAACTAAGGGACGAATACAATCCACAAATTGGTCAGATTTCTGCTTCAATATTCTAGAACCTGGGTCGTTGTAGGCGGGAAGCCCGTCGGTTAGACCCCGTTATCAATTTATTAATTTTTTGATTTTGACATTGAAATATATCTGATCAGTTAAAATAAGGTTTATTGTAGAAAAAAATATTCGCAAAGTTCAAATTTGGATTTGCTGTTTATGTTGATTATAAAAAAGAGTTGAGAAAATATTATTATGTAAATAATAATTTTAAAAAGATATATATGCTGTAACAAGTTTATTTATCGTATATATTACGATTCTTGGAGTTAATAAATAAAATAATATTTTGGGAACAACTCTGGTGACCCAATCGTCAGGTGACCCAGTCGTGTTTTTTTAGACGTGTCCCCAACAAGTATTCATGACATTTTCCATACCGAGATCACTAAATGCTTGGTTTTCAAATTAGTTCATTAACTTCTTTTTAACTAAAGTCTCGTTTTAATCACAATATTAGTAAGAAATTATGTTTAATTTTCTTCGATAATTTAATTTCTTTGGTGTTGGAATAAGAAATTTTTTATGAAACGGGTCTTAAAGAGGAGGATACAAGAGTGATGCTACATGAATTTTTTTACGATCCACAATAATTTTATTATGAAAGAAAAGAGAATTCAAAATGTAATTCAAAATGTTTGTTTCATCTTATAAAAAATCGCAGAAGATGTATATTGAGGTCAATACAAATGTTTTAATTAAATTAATACTAATAGCTTTTTTCCATGCAATAGATCTCAAATTAGCTATAATATGACATTCACTCAATTATTATGGAAAAACATAATAACTGTGGCTTATTTGGATTTAGCAGAATTTTATTTAATGATTATATTTAATTTATAACGGAAAATTCCGAATACTCATTAATGTTATAGCGAATTCAGCCGTTTAATTTATCATTGTAGTTGCGTATAATGAATTTATTGTTAAAATGCTAAACTAATATCATTTTTATATTCTTCAACCTTTTGCCTTTGTCAAGTTAAAAGCAAAGCAATTTTTTTTTTAAAAAATTTTAAAAAATAATGAGTCAACTTAGTAAAGTAAAGTTTAGAAAATATATACTAATTTAAGTAATGTTAATGTTGTTTTTCATTATAAACAGTGAATATGATAAACAATATGTAGAGTTTATTAAAAAGTAATACTTAATTTTTTTTTTACTTTCGATTTCTATTAAAAATCCCGAAATAAATCATTATTAACAAATATTATAAACTAGTCAATTATAATAATCAATTCAATGAGATAAATTGCTTTGGAAATTGCATTATTAGAATCATAAAAAATATGAATGTCAAATTATCAATTGAGCTCGTAGTGTATAGACATATTTTTAATGATGCTTAATCTCGCTAGTTCAGTTAAAAGTTAATAATAAATTTATATATCAAATGCGATTTTAACAAATTACTATCCAATTTGTATATTGATTTTTTACAGTAACTCTTAAAAAAGGTAATTTGAAAAACCAAAATAATCCGCCGGGTTCAAAAGATCGGTTCACCGAAGAGGAACATTTTATATACAGTTTACGCTTCCGTTCCAGCTTCAAAACAATATTTGGTGTTCAATCATCGCAATCACAAGAACCGTATAAGCATGTTCAGTGTAACCAATCATCCATAATATACCCAAAAGTTACCATCAACTAGCTCCAGGAAAAGAACTCCCCAGCATCACTGACAAAAAAGCTCGGGCATGTGACTTGTAGCGAATAGTTTATTAAACAGACCACTAACCCTAATCAATGGGAGTGACAAATAACAAGTGACAAATATGGTTTCACACCCTAAAAAAACCGAGTAACATAATGTAAAAATGAAACATAGGGGCGTGACGCGGGTGATGATAATTTATATAATCTCGTGCCCGAGATTTTGTAGGTTAAAGGTTGACATCACGTGATTCTTACTAATTCTTATTAAGGTGTAAATTATAAATGAATGTATTGCCGATAAAGAAACACTTGAGCCATATTTTAAGGAAGATGTGAGGACGATTCTTAAACATTTGTTATCATTTTCATAAATATATCATGCAGTTTCATAAAAAAGAAATCTCTGAAATCTCTGAATTTATCCAATTCGATAGACAATAAATTTTTAATTTATTAAATGAATTTTGGCGATGATTAACTCGCAATTAAAAACTTTTAAATTAGTAACAAGAAAAAATAAATATGATAACTTATGTTGCATTTAAAATAAAAAATATTATTATCTTGGTGATATTTTATCGTATCATATACCGAATAAAAAAACTAAAATGATTTTCTGACACTTAACTTTAATTTCACCATCATTATTAATCTATGACATCATGAAAAGTATGAAAGTGTAGTATAAGAATTTTATAGCTCTCGATAACAAAATATGATAATATCAACATGTTATGTTATGTGTTGAATAAATAAAGAAATTAAAAAAATCGGGAGTGTTCAATATTTTTTGACCCTTCCGCAGTTATTACGCCTTCCGCAGTGCTATTGTATTAGATTTTTCGAATCAAGTTACTCGAATCGATTCGAATTCACTTCTATAAGATTGGATTTATTCATACGATTCAACAATCCCAAATTCACGTCATTTTATTTCATCGACAATCTGAATCTGTGATTAACCTTGCCGATCTTTCCAAAATTTTCAGTAAATGCAATTTTAAAAAGGTTATCTTGCAAGCTCTATATAATAAACGCCTATAATTAGAAATTAAACTTCATAATTTAATTTTTTTTTTGTTTGCTTTAGTAAAATAATAAATTAATCGAAATTTTAAAGTATGAAATAATTCTATGTCAAGTCCGAAGCGAATGTAAATTAGAATTGGTTTAGACTTTCGATTAAATTAATTTATTTTCAATCAAAGGGATTGGATCGAAGTAAATCTTAATTATAATTACGATATTATATGCTCAATTCAATTCGATAATTATATTATAAATACAGTATTGAAATATATTCCTCAAGAACTATTCAAATTTGTATAGTTATTTCTTCATATAACAATAGATATGTCTGATTTTTACCAAGATGATCTGCGTTATGGTAAAAAATGTTTAAAACTTTGCATTAATCTTTCTAATTTTCAACAAGATAGTAACGTCGTTATCTAACTTATTTCAAACTAATAATATCTGCGTAATTGCATCCAACTTTTACTTCTTTTTACCGCCTTCTGCAGCTATTACTGAGCCAGAAAATAACAACATGTCTATTAGTTATGGAAGCCCTTTTCAAAGTAATGATTATTTCTAAACTTTAAATCAATCTTTATTTGCTTCAAACTAATTATTTAATGATATATCTAAATGAACTTTATACTCATTCATATTTGCAGCTTCCAACAGCATGTATGATTTTCAAAACTATAATCAAGGTAAATATTTTTTTTACATAATATGAAATATGTTTCATTTCAAAAATTTCTTATCCATACCTGAGAACGATGAATTCTGTTAACTATTTGGTATTAACTATATTTATAAAAAAATAAACATTACTTTCCTTTATTAGGTTATTTAGGTTATGCCGCTACTGCCGAACCTTACAATAGTGGAAGTTCCCAATCTGGCGAAAGTTATGAAGAAGCTAAATTAGCAAAGAAAAATAAAGGCCCTCGCTGTAAATGGGAAGTTGATCCAACTCTATGGTTGCTTTGTTATTTGATAGCAAATAAGGAATCGGTTCTAGAACTAAAAAAACGTGGTTCTACAGCAGGAAAAGTTAGAAAGCTGCTCTGGAAAGGTGCCTCCTTTATGCTATACAACATTTATTCAGAAGAACAGTGCGCAAATAGATGGAAAAATATCAAACAGAATAATAAAGTAAGATTATTTCTTTTAATAATAAATTTTGTCAAACATTTTTAATAAATTTAATTTTTAATTTAGAATCAATTCAATGAATATCAGTCATATGTTAAAGCAATTATATATTAAGGATAGTTAGCGGTGAATTTGATTTATTATAATAAGTTTGTTGTAAATTTTAAGATGACGTCAGATATAAAAAAATATGCTATTATTTCTTAGTTAATAATTTAAATTTAAGATAAAGAATTAAGAATTTTAAAAGTTACACACACATTATGTTTTCAAATTAAGAAATTTAAAAACTGCTTATATAGTTAAATTTTATTCAAATTATGCATTTATTTCATATTACTACAATTATTTGTTTTTAAGAATAAAATATTTGAATTCTACAAATACTCAGTTTTTATAAAAGAATTTCTATGATTTTAAAAAGCATAAAACATTTAATTCGTTATTTTTAATTATGAAAAAATAATTTAAAAGTTCGATCATATGATAACTTCCCGTAAATTCTCCACTTATTACTTGGTTGTTTGTTTGTTAAAATATCATTACAATTTTCGAACGCATTTTAGGATTGCTTTTTCTACATGCTTTTCTTATTTAATTGAATTATCCACAATTAAGATTACAAATAATGTTCTTAAACATTTATAAGTTTGCAAAAATAATTTCGAATTTTAGTCATAACACATAATCATTATATGTAATTATCACCTCACAATTAATCTTTAGTTTTTTACCGATTTATCCAATTTTATGATAAAATTACTGATTATTTTAATCATTTTAATTTAACCTTTATGTACTACGATAAGAGATAACAATGTTTGTATAGTTATATTATACACAATTAGGGTTTGAAATCGATTCTATCAAAGCCAAATTAATCAAAAATCGAATAAAAATAAAGTGATTGATCAAAAAAAATAATCATGACAAAAGATAAAATGAAAACAAACAAAATTAAACTAAAAAAACTAAAAACCAAAATAAAAATAAAATTTGAAAATTTTGTTTTTGGTACTTTTTATTCTTTTTAAAGAGATAAAATAATACTAAGTATTTAAAAATAATAATCTTATAACCAGTACTTTCTGATTATTAATATCAAGAATACACCTAACTTAAAAAATATTATACAATTCACTTAATATTTCAAATTCAATATTTTGATTTCTAATATTGTTTATAACATTATGGATTCTGATGGATATGTATAAAATAAAAATTATGATCTTTACTAATTATAATCAATGTAACTATATTTGTAATTACTAAATACTTGCAATAAATGAAACTGAAGAATCATGTAATATAATAGTCCTAACAATTACTGTGAAAGAGATACATTCTTATCTATTTATAAAAATACTTTTAAGAAACAATTTTATAAGAAGTTCTGTTTTATAAGACAAATTATGCTTAAAATATGATTTGATCTTCTATATCTTATTTAGCATCTCAAAGAAAACTCCAAAATAAACTCTAAAGAAGTTGGTCAAATTAAATAATATTAAATTCAAAACTGTTTTCATTTTATAGAATTTATTTAAAATTCTTATAAAAACTTGATAAGTATTTTACAGAATATAGATGCTATCTGAAAACTTCCTTAAAACAATTTCGTTATATTTCTTACTATGTTTTTAATATAGTTTTAGCTAATTTTAGATTTTGGGATTTCGTCATACCTTTACTATAATTTCAGCTATTTATTGATTGCCTTTTTTGGGTTTAATCTCTCATTTTATTACAAAAAGTATCCAAAATTTTCAAATATTATTTTTGACATTGTATTTCTTAAAACTCATTAATTAGAATTAGAACCAAATTTTAATATTATTAGATATAATCTCAAAATATAACGTATAAAATTTTAGATAATTTAAATCATTAGATATTGAAATATTAATGTATAAATAATTTTAATTACAGTTTTTTTTTTAAATTTTTAAATAAAGTTAAATCAATTTTCTTAATATCTAATAATTTAAATTAAATAAAAATTTAATATATAGAAGGTGATATAAGGCATATTGGGGGTTCTGGGACAGCTCTCAAATCCGTCTATATACCCAGTTTGCTATATGATTTCCAATATCAAATTCAAAG